TCACTCCAAGGTTTGCTAGGATACTATGCCTTTTCCTATCTTTTTAACAGTAGTGTACACAAGTCCTCATATTTAGATACAGAAGGATTTATGGACCCAACTATCTACGCTAGATCTTGACAACAACCATCTGTTTGTGCCTAGGGGCGATTTCAATACCCTGTTAAATGCGGATGAAAAGGACCGAGGGGCTTTGCGTTGAACTGGAATTAGACAAAGTGAATATTTGACAACAATTTGATAGATGCCGGTTTTCGTGGTCCATCCTTTACTTTGGTGAGAGGCTCCTTTCGGCAGCGTTTGAACAAATGTTTGATTAATGAGAGTTGGATGAACGCGTTTCCAGATTAGTATGTTCTTTATTTGTACCGTCTGGGATCTGATCATAGGCCTATCCTGTTTCGAACTAGTAGCATGCAAGCTGGAAGAGTAGTTTGTTTCGTTTCTTATTTGCCTGCCAGGATCACCCTAATTTTGCTAATGTGTTACGGAATGCTAGGATGATACAACTGATGTTCGAGATAATCTTCAATCTTTGCGGTCTTCTTTGATTGAATGGAATTCTAATGAATTTGGGGAAATTGGTAAGCGCAAAAGGCAATTAATCGCCAGAATCTGAGGGGTTGACTGTGCTCTATCTAATTGTGACTCGCCTTCACTTCAAGAATTGGAACACAAGCTTAAGGTCGAATTGGAGATAATTATTGAGCAAGAGGAGAGTATGTGGTTGCAGAAGTCTAGAGTAATTGGTGTCTTTATGGTGATCAAAACACGGCCTATTTCCACGCATGTGCTAAAATTCAGCGTCAGAATAATTCTATTATTTCCCTTCGTTTAGAGGATGGATCATGGTGTTATGATCAAGTTGTGCTTCGGAAAATGACAGTTATTTATTATAAGGCTATCTTTACTAGCTCTGGGAATAATGGCCTTCATTTTTTAGGTTTGGAACCGGTTTACTCAGATTTCAGATTCTTCCAGGATCATGCTTTCGGAGGCAGTCGAGGAGGATGAAATTAGAAGAGTGGTCTGTCTTTGAGATGAATCCTTCGAAAGTACCGGGTGGAACCGGTTTACTCAGATTTCAGATTCTTCCAGGATCATGCTTTCGGAGGCAGTCGAGGAGGATGAAATTAGAAGAGTGGTCTGTCTTTGAGATGAATCCTTCGAAAGTACCGGGGACAGGGTATCACATTTTCTATCAAAAGAATTGAGAGGTTGTTGGTCGAAGCGAATGTCGAATGGTCTTTGATTGCTTTGCTAGTGGCCATATTCTAGATGATAAACCGTACTTTGCTTGTGCTTATTCCTAAAGTGTCCATTCCAGAGAGCATTACCCAATTTCGACCGATTAGCATGTATTGTATCTACAAGCAATTACCAAAGTTATTGTTAACCGGCTAAAACCTTTCTTACCTATCTGGATTTCTAAAGGTCAAAACCAGCTTTGTTCCTGGTCACCATATCACGGACAATATAATTTGCACATGAAGTAATTCATTTGATGAGGAAAATGAGAGACAAAATGGCTGGATGGCTGTGAAATCAACCTCAAAAAAGCTTATGATAGGCTGTAATGGGCTTTTATAAACGATATTTCAATGGATGTGGGTTGCCTGGATAAGCTTCGGCGTCTGATTATGAATTGTGTGATTGTGGCTTCAACTCAGGTGCTCTGGAACGGGTCTTACTTCTGAAGAGTTCAAGCCAACTAGGGGAATTTGGCAAGGTGATCCATTATCTTCTTATATCTTTGTATTGTCTATAGAGAGGCTTGCTCAATCTGTAAATCTCGCTGTGGATGAAGGGTTATGGCGGGCCATAAAGTTGAGTCGATTGAGTCTCCCTGTCACATTTGTTTTTTGCAGACGATTTGATTCTCTTTGCGGAGGCTCACTCAGAAAGTTCGAGATGGGTTAGAAAGCGAAGAACTTATCAATGACAGGGTGTGTCATTTTAACAAAGTTGGTGATGTCTACTATACCATCCTACGCTATGCAAAAGTGCCATCTATCGGTGGGTACAAGGGAAGAACTAGATACACTTATTTGTAATTTCACCTGGGGCAGTACGGAGTGTAATCGGCGTATTCAACTAGTTTCGTGGAAGGAAGTTTGCTTTCCGATAAATGAGGGGGAACTAGGAATAAAAAATTTACATAATCATAATGATGCTTTCATTATGAAAATGGCATTTCGACTAATTTCCAATCCACAGAGCTTATGTGTGAGGATCTTGCGAGCGAAATATGGCATGGTTGATTTAGGTCCACTTTCGATTCATAAACTGGTTGTTCCCGAATCTGGAATGGAATAAGTGTAGTTTGGAATGAGGTTAGGAGCGGGGTGGTTTGGACATTGGGAGATGACACCTCAGTAGATTTCTGGAATGATGCTTGGTTAGGTGCTTTGGGTCCACTCGGGAGACGTCGAATTAAATGTCGCAATGAAGAGGAAAGCTTTATCTCGGTTAGCTCGATGGTTGACTCTAATGGTGATTGGAAATGGGATATTATTCAAAGAACTTCACCCCCTGCGGTGCACCTGGATTTGAGGGCGGTGATTGGAAACCTCCGCGGTCTTTAGGTTGTCCAGATATTCCGGGGTGGAAATGGGAGAAGCATCGTCTCTTTTCGGTCAAAAGTGCTTTCGATCAGCAAATGATGATGAACTAGCAAGAGGGGGCGCCAATATGGAAAGTCGTTCATCGACATCGGGGCTACCTCGTGTTAAGTCGCTTCTGTGGCTCATCTGTAAAGGACGTGTACTCACAAATGTGGAACGCATGCGATGGCATATGACGTCGGACCCTAGCTGCCATTTATCTGGGGAAGCAATGAAGACCCCTCTCACATTTTTTGGGACTGTTTTGCTGCAAAATTGACCTGGAACATGCTTTTTAAACCTGAGAGGCTTAATGAGTACGGGATGGCTTTTGAGGAATGGATAATGAGTAATATCCAAGAAGATATGGATTGCATGGGGACCCAAGCGGACTGGGATGTGCTTTTCGGAGCGCTTTTATGCTGCTTGTGGAATTGTCGAAATAAGCTAATATTTGATGCGGAGAGCAATTGCTTTGATAGTGTTTTGCACACAGGAAAATGTATGGTAGCGGAAACTTTAAGTGCGAACATGAGGAGGGTGGTGAGGCTTGATCAAGTTTCTGCTCCCTCTGTAAAGACCATGATGTGGGTGCCCCCGGCTGCGGGTTACAGTAAACTTAACACGGATGGTGCACACAAAACAAACTGTGGAAGGGTTGCTTGTGGCGGTCTTGTTCGTGATCACCAAGGAAGATGGGTTATCGGGTTTGTTAAGCAAATAGGTCGTTGCTCCATTTTGGATACCGAGTTATGAGGTGTTTATGAAGGCCTTCTTATGGCGTGGGAGGCAGGTATAAGGAAATTGTGGGTCAAAGTTGATAGCAAGGAGGCACTTGAGGTAGTAGATAGAGATCCGAGGTTTCATGGTGCTTCTTCCCTTGGCCCTCACATCTATGAACTAATGAGAAGAGACTGGGATTTGAAGTTCAGATTTGTGCCTCGTGAAGGTAACAAGGCGGCCGACTGCTTGGCTAGACTGGCGTGGAGCCATTCAGGAGGTATTCAAGTGTTCCAGATCCCCCTTCTGCCTTTAAAAGTGTAGTTAATGTGGAGGCCTGCTTGCATTGTGGGTGCATGGTGAAAGCTGGAAGCTTTTAGGTACGGTTCTTTTGCACGTTAAAAAAATGAGTATATAGATAAAAAAAAAATTCAACATCTAAAGTAGATTTTAAAAAGACAAAAGCTATCACAATAACATAACGATTAGTAAAATTGTGGGTCAAATAAAATCTTAAAAGATGGATGGATACAATTCAAAACAAATGGCAATAATGCTAACGATGTCAATTGGGCAAAAATAAAATTTTTATTTGATGACAAGACCTGATATATATAAAATAAAATAAATTTGAAAAATCTCAACAAATTTCTTTGTTTAGAATGGAATAAAAAAATTATTAATTTTGAAGGCAGTTATTTAAGTAAGAGACCTGAGAATCAAAATCTCTTTCTAACTTCAATACAAATTTTACATATTCCAATTATTTTTTTTATCTAAACAGAAAAATCTCATTTTTAAATTGTAAAATTCAGATGATAATTCTGACTTTTAAACTTTAAGTATTAACACCAATTTGATCGTTCTTAAAATTCCAAGATATAATTTAAACGTCAGATCAAATTAAGATTTGATTAATCCAAAGAAAGTATTACATATACATCAAAGAAAACTCCGACGAATCGTGGATGACCAATGTTAGCGTGGGAGTCCATTTGTCAACCGAAGGAACTTGGAGTTCGAGATTTGCGACAGTTTAACATCGCTTTGCTTGGAAAACAGTTATGGAGAAGCATGCAAGCTCCAACCTGCATTCTTGCTCGTGTTTTGTCTGCTAAATACTTTCCAAGGGGTAGTATCTTGGAGGCAACTGTGGGTGTGAGGCCCTCCTTTGCTTGGCAAGGGATATAAAACCATTATGGAACTTCGTTCGGGTTTTCATTGAAGGGTAGGACAGAACAGTGGAAATGTTGATGGTGGTGTTGCGGAAGCTACGACAATTACTTATTATATGACTTGCAGTGGAGTTGTGATTCCCACAGTTCATGCTAAAAGTGATGCGAGAATGTCGTTTGTCAACTGATACCAAACCGGCTAGATATATCTACAGTGGTTTTTATTTAGCTGAAGCTAAAAATTTGCTTCGAGTTCATACTAACTTCCGCGTATCGTTCGGCAAATTTAGCCGCTCGTTCTCTTACACAATTTGCTCTTTCTATTCCCGTCTTTATTAATTAGTTAAAAATCCCCCTGAATGTATTTCTCATATAGTAATTGCTGATGCCTTTAGCTAATTCTAATTAGCGGCTAATTAACCGAAAGGACTTTATTTCAACAAAAAAAAAAGATTTAAGATTATTTTCTACAAGATCTGTCATCTCATGTCTTCTATAAAGATACACAAATCAACTCCAAGATTTAACACTAACAAACCGCTAAGAAGAGTTTATTGATAAAATCCAAAGCTAATATATCATCCTTGCCACGCTAACCCTAGTTTAGATACAAACCCAGAATTATACTTAATCCAACGCTAAACAACAGGGGGTGTATATGGATATCGAAACAAACAACTGCTAAGCTATACAGCATAGAAACTTTGATTAGATATCAACTAAACCTACTTGTTTGAGCTAGCCACTTTTCGATCACTCCCCTTGAAAAAATAAGGGAGGATCGAAGATTAGAGAACTCAAAACAAAGAGATCAGGTATCCCTACAAGTCCAGCCTTAGCATCCTCCTCAAGGCACTCGTAGCAACATCATCTCTCAAAGCAGCACCAATCTTCTTAGTGAAAAACGCCGGCAACGGGACCGAACTCGGAGGCGGCGATGTTACGAAGGCCGATCCGGCATAAAACGATACCGGAACATCCTTACCGCTGCCATTTTCAGACTCGTTTGGTCGGATCTTAGCCGGAACCGGCACTGGATCTGGACCCAAACAGTTAGTGTAGCGCAGATCTACATCAACGCTTTCGTTTTCGAACCCCATAGGCTTATCCGGCATATATTTTTTAAAATCTTCGCCGCGTTTGATGATCTTGACTTGACCCATCAAGAGATTAGTCGGGGCCTTCAGGGGAGCTACAGTCGCACGAGCAGGAGGAGATGTGTTTGTCGAACCCTTCCCACCGTTCGTCCGGTTAAGGTTAGGATTACGGCGAGGTTTTCTAGTGTGTTTCATGGGATTAGGGAGTTTTAAACAATCTTCTGGCTTAAGAACTGCAACACCCATGGCAAAGCAGCAAGGAATCTACAGATTAAAAAAAGGAATTCTTCTAATGAATTTTCAGAGAGGAATCGAAGAGGGGAAAATGATAGAAAATTAAAAAAAATCACCAGGTATTTCAAGGGGAGAGAGTAATAGAAACAAGAAAATGAGTTTGGGTTACTAGGGAACCAGGGGTTATAAAGGAGGAGCTAAAGTATATTGATTGCGTGGCCACTTATCACACGCCCCTGTCACGGTTTATAACCCCACTCGCCCGTACAAATCTATTTTCTTTCTCAATTTTATTTGGAAAAATCATTAATATTTCATTAATAAATTAGTTTATAAAATTTAGTTGTTTTCTCGAAAAATCATCTTTTTAATTTAATATTTTTAATCAGGCATCGGTCAGATTATATTTTAATCTAACATTTTTTGCAGTAAGGCGCGCCTCCTGCAGCGCACTATACGCTGATTTGGCGTCACGTGAGGTAAGACGCTCCCCCTACGGGTGCCTTATGCTGACATAGATACACGTGTATATGGCGCAGGGCAGATTGGTAATTAAGGGTATAGCACGGGACAGGGGCCGCGCCTTATCTGTGATTCTGACACGCGTCAGAAAGGCGCGACCCTTCCCCGCGCTATACATTAATTACCAACTTATCTTGCCCGTTCACATTCATCCCTCTCTATAAATACCCCAATTCTTAATCACTTTCATCACATTAAATCCTCTTAACTTCTCTCAAATACTCTTATATTCTCTTATTAAGGTATATTTTATTATATTTATTATTTTTTAGTAATTTATTTAATTAGTTTAATTGTTTAATATTTTATTTAATTAATTTTTTACAGATATAAAATGGAAGGCGGTCTACTTTGGTTGGATGGAAATCATATATCTCGACACTTAGCTGATACGGTAACTTTTAACGTTTTAATTTAATTAATTAATTAATTTAATGCATGATTATTAGTTTAAAAATTAATTTGTGTAATTATTTATATTTTAGGAGAGATACCGTATATTAGATCATTTTATTAGGAACCTTAAGTTAGTTATACCTACTCGTGTAATGTCGTATTTAGTAGAGGTTGGATTCGGTCACCTAGGTAGATATCAGGGTCACTGTAAGATAGAACCAGACCTTATTTCTCCCTTAGTAGAGCGGCGGAGGCCGGAGACCTACACATTTCATCTTCTGTGCGGAGAGTGCACGATCACGCTTGAGGATGTTTCTATGCACCTAGGGCTTCCGGTGGATGGATGTGTGATATCAGGGATAACTTCCGGTTCTTGGACTACTTTGTGCCAGGTTAGTCTAGGACGTGTCCTGAAAAATTTTAACGGTGGACGGATACCTTTAAATTGGTTATATGCCAATTTTCGGGAGTTGAGTGAGGACGCGTCTGATGATGAAGTCAAACAGTGTGCACGGGCATGCATACTGCAGCTGATAGGAGGGTTGCTGATGCCGGACAAATCGCGCAACCAAGTTCACTGTATGTGGTTGCAACATCTTGGTGACTTTTATCTGCCGGATCACTCAGTTGGGGCTCGGCAATTTTGGCTTGCCTGTACAGGGAGATGTGTCGAGCCATTGACTACAGGCGTAATGCTATCGGCGAATGTCTCCTGCTGCTGCAGTCTTGGGAATTGTATCGATTGCCCTTTTTATGTCCCGTTGTCAAGAACTCATTCGTATTTCCGCTACTCCTAAGGTAATTATAAAACTGATTTTGTATATTAATAATTTTATACAGTGAATAAGAAAATATTTTTCTTGAATAGGTGGTATACTGATAGGAAAAATCATCAGGAGCTACCTGATGATTTAGAAAAAATTAGGGTGTTAATCGATCAGAAGGCTAGCACACAGGTATGAATTTTAATGTTTAAAATTCCATTTTAGATTATAGTTATATAATTAGATTATTATTTTGAAAAAAATTATATATATTTGTTTTAGTTTGAATGGGTGTCATATTCTACTGATGATGTGAGGGCGGTGATCCCACCTGAGTTGAGGGGCCCATCAGATGTTTGGATGGCGATAGTCCATTTGATATGTTATGCGACCGTCGAGTGGCACTCCACTGATCGCGTGCTCTGGCAATTTGATTGTTTTCAACCAATTCCGGAAGCACCTCGCAATATGGACGAGTTGCATAGCACAGATAGACGCGACAAGACAGATACAGATTGGCTGGTGAGGCATCATGCGTGGGTCGTGTTGTGGGAGGATCGACATCGGCGCCTTCCCCGTAGAGAGCCAATTTTACTTGACCTGTTGATGGTTGCTGACGGTTATTACGAGTGGTTCAACAGTAACGGGAAACCGTTTATGCTTCCCGAGGATGCACGAGGGTAGACTTTTCCGCGACGTCGACAAAGACTTTCACCGACACAACATCATCATCCCCCGACTCGTGGACGGAGAGCAGGTGCTTCCGGTTCATCCTCAGCTGCACCAGCAGGACCTTCACAGCAGCCACCTTATCAACCGTCTTATATACCATAGCCATATATAATGCCGCCACCGTCTTTCCATTACCAGATGCCGCCACCGCCGCCTTCACCTAGTTTTATGACCCCGCCACCGCCACCGTCACAGAGTTATATGACCATTCCTGGAGGCTATTATGGGTCTATGTTTGTAGATCTGACTTGGGGTTCATATGCTCACATTTTGGCGGGTTCAGCCTCATCACCCATGGCCGCAGCACATACACCTCATGTACAGTTTTCACACTCAACGATGTCTGGGTTTTATGAGTTTTCCCAGTTTTCGCAGGACGGTCGGATAGTCAGTCATACACCTCAAGGGTCCTTATTCTATGGAGGTGCTTCATCGTCATCAGCTCCTCATCAACAAAATGTAGCCGCTCAGGATGACGACAACGACGATGATGACAGCGAGGAGTCACAACTAGTGATACGAAGAAATCCTCCTTGAGACCGACAACCACCGCCCTGCAGAACACATTCGCGTTGCAGGCATCGATAGATTTGGTTTTTTTTATACTTGTATTTAGTACTTTTTTATTGTAGTTGTTTATTGGACTTTTTTATTATAATTTTTCATTATTGTTTATCATTTAATACTTACTTTGTTAATTTATCATTTAATATAAGTTATTGTAATTTGGTTATCATTTATCATTTAATACTTATTGTATCGTTAATATCAATTATTCATTAATATAACGTCAACGTCTAATCTCGTATAATTGTATCATTTTTTTAATCTTCATCAGCGGTTATCGAATAACATTAACTTGAAGTATATGCAAAGTAAAGTACAAGAATTATTATTATTTGATAAACAACTACATCATTTCCTCATCAATTGTTACTTGGTGACAACAGAAGTGGACATGTTTTTCTAGTGTGTCCTGGGTTTCTACAATGCCCACATCTTCTGTCTTGTCTAGATCTTTCTCGAATATCCATATCGCAATGAATTCGATTGGATTTTGGACGACCACGCTCCCTCAATAAACTCAGATTTGGTACAATCTGAAGCCAATCTTGAACCTCATCAGGGTCTTTGTCATTACCTATGGGGGGAAACTCAAATTCGTATACCTTAAAAACTTCAGATAGTAGGTATACGGGATCCACAAAACGGTTATAATCTTGACGTGTATGCGAGCAAGCTGCTATCACATGAGAGCATGGATACTTCAGAGCTTGAAAAACCCCGTAGTCGCACGTTCTGTCCCTTAGATTTACTCTTAACGACACAACTTCAATCCTTTGAAGAGATTGCAACAACTCTGTGACACGAAACATTTCATGACTTCTAGAGAAGCTTGTTACAGACATTCTATTTGATGCAACAATTTTTTTTTTGTATATCTGTAACTAATATAGGGTGATAAACATGACCGCCTTGTATACAGGTTTCAGCTTGTCCCCCGAGCTTCGCAAAAAGCACCCCCAAATGAAAATATGTAGTTTTTACCAAAGCCGCTATAGGTAAGTGACGTGCACCCTTTAAGGTTGAATTGATTGCCTCAGCTAAGTTGGTCGTCATGTGTCCATATCGATATCAACCATCATATGCGTCCATCCACATTTCTTTATCGATGAGGCTGATGTAATCATATCCTTCCTCGTTCTTCGCCCGCAAATCTTGAAGCATTGATTCAAACGTTCGAGGAAGTAGTTCGTAACCTGATCAAAAAATGTATAACTTAATAACTTAATTTCTTTGCAAAATTAAAATGATAAAAATGTATAACTTACTAACTTGCTTTCACTTACCCATAGCATAATTAATTGATGCTCATCATTCTTCTTGTACCTTCCATGGTAGTTCGCAGCAATGTGTCAGAGACAATACCTATGTTGGATAAAGGTGGTTGCCACATTGGACCCAAAGACTCCATTGCTGCTTTGATCCCAGCTCCGCGATCTGAAATGACACATATTTTCTCCCTCGTGATAACATGTGCACGTAAGTTTCGAAAGAAAAAAGCTCAAGATATGTATCTCCTTCAACAAGAGCAAAAGCAACTGAAAGAATGTTGCGATTGTCATCTTGGACAACTGCCAATAATAAAACTTGTTTGTATTTCCATACAAGAAAGTCCGTCGATCTGGACCACAGGCTTGCAGTATTTGACAACATTAACGCACTGTGGGTAAGTCCAAAAAACCCGGTAGAATTGGCATCGATCGCGTAGAACTCGATCATTATGGTATGCATAGGAGGTTTCGAAATCCACAATTATCCCAGGATTCAACGTCCGCACCAGCCTAAACCAACCTAGAAGTTTGTTATAAGATGCATCACATTCTCTATGAAGTTTGATAATGACATTTTGTTTTGCCAACTAAGCTTTTTTATATGAGACATTGTACCCATACTACGATTGTATAGCTGAAATCAACACTGCAATAGCTATATGAGAGCTTGCTTTTACCATGGGCATAATGGCTTGGCATATCACTTCAGAGTCCAAGTTGGGATGATCTTGGTTGACCCCTCCATCACAATATGTGTGAGGACCGTTTTATATTATTAATTCACATATATTGTTTTTCCTCTTCCTCTTCGATACGCGAACTATCCAATTGCATCCATTTTCGCGTCGGGCACAATAGCATACATATTTTTCGGTCGTGGAGCGGTTGACTCTGGACTGAACAGAATTACGGATATTGTAAT